AACTTAATGCAAATTATACAGATCTAGTATACTCAATTGTATTATGTAACTCTATGAAAATTCCTACACTCCCATTCATTATCTTATCACATGATCCAATCTCTTTTATTTTTCATACCAACTCATTATCTATTAAATTACAACAAATTGCAAACCAAAATGCTTAACGCACCAACTTTACCTTTTATACTGATAAATCTGTTATCAATATTACTACTGATAGATGCTCAATAAACATTGGATGAATACAAATATATAACAATACTATTATCGAATCTTACTCTTCTCAAATTAAATTTTGGCTATCATCATACAAAGCTGAGCTAGTAGCTATTCTATCAGCCATATGCACATGCTCTCGAAACAGCAATATTTAAATCTATACTGACTTACAATCTGTAATTTTTAAATTTAACAAAATTACTAACAACATAATACCATTGCACAAACAATACTCTTATAACTATTAGCCAATATGGCATACAATTATTAATTTAATTAGGTTATACAAATACAACATTACACTTCACAAAGTACCCACCCATGAAGACAACATATTCAATAATAAAGCAGATAAGCTTGCATCAAACCACAACTTAACAAATTCCTGAACATATGATACAACAACATTTATAATACCTTATATACTATATAATATAATCAATATACTATTGAACAACCTACCTGACGAGCAATCAAAAACATCTGCAATGCACACATAATAGCTATGTGATTATCTCAAAACCGAATGAACAACATTATTTCTCTATTCTCACAAATTAACTGAGAAGCAACCTGACTATACCTAAATAACAACATTAACAGAACTAGCTTATATACAAACTTTACACTTAGCAATAGCAAATCCTTTAAAATTAAACTACAACTTAACATACTGCCTACTCTTTTCTATCTTCACAACTTATACTCAGAAGCAGTAAATAGCAATAGCTGTATTACATGTCATACACCAGAACACTTACTACATTGGATTCTTTGTCCAAACACTACACTTCTTACCAATCTTATTCATGAAACAATAACAGAAACAATTACTCATATAACTGATATTACTAGCACTCAAATTAATGAACTATAAGAAATACTTTTACAACACAATAGCCTTTCATTTAGCAACATAACTCTACAACAAACTAACATTTATATAACATTATAAGAATATGTGCCTAACAGTCTTATTTCATCAATCAGACTATTTACTTAATCACAAACAGAAGCAAAAAATATTACTACTAAACTTCTACATAAGCTGTCCCAAAAAGTTTATAAACAAATATGGAAACCATATTGTACAAAACTAGCACAATGGAAAAATGACAACAACATTCTACAGTATACTAAAAACCAACAAAGAAAACCTACACGAACTAATTACAATAATACATATTATGTTAACAGACATCAATTACAAAGTACAACCTGCAATTTATATAGACTATCAAGCTTAAAACACATTGATCCAAATACTTGCCCACCACTTAGTCATGCTCTATGTAAAATTAATTTATAGCTTGATTATTGGATACTTTATAGCTACTCTACAAACAACATTTTATATTATCAAATCTAGGTGAGTTTTAACCACTCTAGTAGGTTTAGGTTGCAGATTAATTAGATAGATAACAGTTAGTTTCTTTCTATAATCTGAGCTTTACTCTTGTAACAAATTTGTAATTAGAATAGATTTTGTAATTTATATTCAGAGAAGCTCCTGGAGGCATCTTTAACAAATTAATAAAGATATGAGCAAATCCTCACCTTTACTCCAAAAAAAAAAAAAAAAAAACCTAATGAGGGTGCTATATATTGATAAGAATATAGAGATTACTAACAATATATTTCACTTTTAAAATTTTTTTGATATTGTGCAAATATTTTATTTTGAAATAATTTCATATCAATTATAGTTATTTTTAGTATGCAAAATCATTTGCAATATTTTATATATTTATTCTGCTAATGAAGTTTAAAATATATTGACAGAAATAAAATTTTTAAAAGAAAAATTATAATATAAATAATAATAATTATTACTTTATTAAAACAAAAAATATACAAATAAAATTAGTAAAATTAAGAATTATAATAAAAATAAATAAAATAACAAAGCTGATAATCTTGTAAAAAAAAATAATAAGTAAAAAGATAATATATATAAAATAAGTTAGTTATAAAAAAATAAAATACTGTTTATAGTAAAAAAACAAATAAACAAATATACTAACAAGACTTTTATTTAAACTGATAATAAATATAAAATTAGAAATAATATAAAAAAATAAGAACTATTAAAAACTTAGAACTAAAAAATAACAAAAGTTATAATTTATAATTAAATATATTTTTAAAAAAGATTAAAAACAATTAAAAAAATATATTATATAACAAAAAAAGTAGTATAAAAAGAAGTAATACAAAAAAAAGTATAGTTATAAAATATATAATAAATAAACTTTTAATCTTAAAAAAATTTAATAAAAAAAATCAGATATATATAATAGCAAAATATATATATTTTTTTTTTTAAAAGAGGTTTTTTTTCTAGTTCTTTATTTTAGTAATATATAATTAAGTACAACTAGTACAAATTGATATATTAAACTAAAGGAGTAGAGGTTAGGGCTATTTTATCCTTAATCTATTCTTAGCTAGAATGGTTAAGAGACAGACCTCTAGTCTATGGATTGAATAGTAGAGAATGTTTGGTTTAAATATATAAATCTATTAAGCTATAAGGTATATTGTCTATCTATTAACATTAATAAAATATGATCTGGATTAGTAATAGTAATAGTTGGTGCATATTGAATCTTTTATTAAATATATATTTTACTCAGTTTCTATATATATTTGTGTATCTTTTTTGTAATTTAGTGATAGATGTTTGGTAGTAAGTTCTTTTTTAGTGAATCTAGTTCGAGTAAGTTATTTGTTATAATTCCAATCAGGATTTGTTTATCTATGTGAATGTTTTGTATTTTTTAAACTAGATTTGTTGATATTGTTGTTTTGATTTCATTATCTTTGCAGACTTTTGTTATTGCTTTTTTTATTATTTCTTTTAATTCTATTTAATTGTATAGGCAGGTAAGCATATAGACTGTATCTTCTAGTATATTTGAATACTTTGCATAGTATAGATTGGTATAAGTTTTTGGGTTTCTTTTATGAAGATTAAAATGTGGTGGTAGTTCTGAAGTTAGAATTTTAATTTTGAATGTTTTTAAAGTAGATTTTGTAGAATCAGTATTTTGGCTAAAGGGTTTGTTTTTAAAGTTAAGATATTTGAATATAAGTTTTTAATTGATGTTTAGAAGATTGTCAGAAATATGTTTGATGTGCTTCTGATTATTTTATATGATGATTGCTTCTGCTTATTGTAAAGTTTTAGGTATTTGGTGAATAGTGTAAGTAGTTGGTGTATTCATTATGAAGAGAGTAAAGGTAGTATTTAATACTATATTGGGTAGCAGATTTATATTGAATTGACAGAAGGCATTTTTTATACTAATTTTTTTTTTGTTAAGTTGATTTTAATCTTTAAATTTTTTGCATTGATTATGGTATTAAGAAGAATAATGATATTGTTAAAAAAAGTTTTTCTTAGTTTATGTTTCTGTTCTGATAACATAATAAGCATTGTTGGAATTTTGTTAGAAATGTTGCTTTTATCAGTTAATATTTGAATTTTCATTTTTTTTGTTATTACTATAAGATTATTGCAAGCATTATAAACATTGCATAATCTGAGAAAAGAAAGGTTTGGTTGGTGCAATGCCATGTATGATCATTATGCTAAAATGATAATTAAGCATAAGGAGTATTGTATCTATTTGTTTTTTTGAAAGAAGTTGTAAGTTTAAGATTTAGTTATTTTGAAAATAAACTTGTTATATATAATTTTTATATTTCTTTTTGGTTATTTACAAAGATCTGTAGAAGTTAATAGTTGCTTTGATATTTTGAAATTAGAAGTAAATATTTGTGACTTTGTTTAGATTGCATAGTTGTTTGATGAAAGCATAAACAATTAAGATTTGCATGAATTTGTTTGTGACAATTAACTTGAATTTTGAAGGTTTGGTGTATGGGATTAGTAAAGTAGCAATAGGTTGTTTTAAATTTTGAGTTTTTAATTTGACATTTAAGACATAGTATTAGTTGGTAATTGTTTAATGAATAAGTGTTGTAGTGTTTGATTTTGGCTTAATTATTAATAATACTTGTTAATTTTCCAAATTGTTGTGCTTTTGTAATTATCCATTGTGAAGTTATAATGTTGATTTTTATGAAGATGTATGGGTTGGGATAGTTTAGTGTTGTAGATGGATTTGTTAATAAAGTTATATAGTCTGTGATTGCTTTGAACCATTTTGAAGTTTTGCCTCTTGGTATTTTTTGTATGTTATGATGAAAAGATATCCAATCTAGAATATTGTAGTTTGAGTAGTTAAAAAATTGTTCAATACAAGTTATGTTGTGGTTGTTTAATTTTTCTTTGATTGCATATAGTTGTTTTATTGATTGAAGAATTTGATTAATAGATGTGCCTTTTGTTTGTTTGGAAATAGGCTATGGATTGGTTGTATGTTCTAGCTGAATGTTTAGTAAATGAAGTGTGAGTATCATTTGGGCTATGTTTGTTTTAACTTCATTTGTAGTTAATATAGATTGTTCTAATAAGATTGATTTGTTTGAGTTGGCTGCATTTTGAATTTGTTATAATCAAATTTTTAAACTATGAGTATCAAAATTAGATAAATTAATGCTTCTATCTAATATATAAATTTGTTGCTGTTGTTGAACATTGTAAAGTGTATTCAGAGTATATATATTAGAATGATATAGGGTGAAATTAGAAGTAGACAAAGTTAGTCTAGCTTTTTGTTTGATAATATTTGTATATAGGTTTGTAATAGAGTCACAAGAACATTTTGATAGATAAGTACTTTGCATCTAATATGCTGCACATATAAGGATTAAATTATTGATAATGTAAATAGCCTGTTTGTTAGTTATTTTTTTTTATTTTTTTTTTTAAACTTAAGTAGTCATGCTAGTACTTTATTAAGATTCTTGAAATTACTTTTGCAATTATATAAATTTATTTAAACACTAAGTCTAGCATTGTCTGGCCACCCATAGGATACCTAGATGCAACTTGCTGTACTACTTTCAACAGAAGTAGACTACTTGTCTGACTACTTAAAGTCTGTAGTGAAAGGGTCTTCTTCCTTTTATGACAAGCCCTAACATTGTTTTTCTAGTTTCTTTATTAATTCTATCTTTTCTCTTTTTTGCTTGTTTCTTTTCTTTTTCAATCTTTTGCTGATTTGCCTTTCCTTTCTTTTTTAGATTCTTCTTTTTTTCCTCTTTTTTTTCATTTTGGTTGTTATGCCTTCTTTTTTCTCTTATTCATTGATCTTTTCACATTATATCCTTCAAACTTTTTCATAAAATGTGTCCCATGCTGTCTTTGCCACTGTTTCTATAAACTTATGTTTTGCCTTTGTATTTAGAAGCTATGTTAGTTTGTTTTGTGTTTTTTTTAGAATCAGGCTTTTGATTAATGCTTCTCTCATCTCTATCTCTTTTGCTTCACTTTTTCCAAAGAGTGCTATATATAGAACATATGGCAAAGTGTGAGTTTTTTTTTCTTCTCTTAACCTTTTTCAGGCTGTTGCGATGGTTACTTTTTAAATTCATTTTTACAGGCTCTGTTGTCCTTTGCACAATGCTAAATGTGCCTGTATTTCTTTAACTTTATTTTGACATACTTGGCATTCTGTTGTTGTGTATATGTTTGGCCTTCTTTTATTAAGTTCTTCTAGGGTTAGAAGTTTATCTATCATATACTTTATAAGTGCATATTTTCTTGTACTACCTCTTCTTGTTATGCAATGCACTCTTTTAGTTGTTTTTAACCTTTTCCAGAATAGTGTCTAGTTATAAATTATAACTTCTGTTTTCAGTTTTAACTTTTTGATTGCATTTGTTTCTTTTCATTCTGCTTCTAATCTTGCATTTGTTATCAATTTGCATAATAATCTTGCAAGTATGTCAGTTCATTTGTTTTCCCACTCTAGGCAGTACTTTATCTTTTTGCAACTGACTTTCTTTGTTTGTATTACTTTTTCACTTATTGTTTTTTTCTTTGCAAGGCTATCAGCTTTGTCATTCTATTTGTTTTTGCTATGATCTTTAACTTTCACTAACTCTATCTGTATACTCTTTATGTTAATAAGCTCTATAATCTTCATTATTTATATCATGTTTTTCTTTTTAAGGATTTTTATTCTATCTATTTGCTCTAAACTTCTGCCAATGTTTCTAATCATAGCATTACTATCTATATATGTTTCTACTTGTTTTTCTCTTGGTATTATTAGAATTGCTGCTCATATTGCTACTAATTCTGCTATTGTTGATGTTATCTATCCTTCTAGATATAATGATGTTTTTTCTTTTGGCCACTCTTGCATTTCATTTTTTTGGACCCATCCTATCTCCATACTACTGCCTCATGTTTCTTTTTTGTTTTTTATATTTGTAGTACCATCTGTATATATAATATATTTGTTTTTGTTTCTTGATAGGTTTCTTCTTAGTATCTTTAAAATTTTCTGTTTGACATTCTCATCTAGTTTTCTGTCTTTTGATTATCTTTATTTCTAACCTTTCAATCATCTTTAGACCTTCAAGTTTCTGTTTACTGTCTTTTAAACTTTCTGTTTCAGTTTTTCTTGTCAACTGGTCCATAGCTATCTTGATTTTGCTGTTCTTCTTTTCCATCAATGTGTTAGGAATTACTTTAATCTTGTTGTTTATTCTTATCTATTGCTAGCAACTGTCTTTTTTTTGTTCTTCTTTTTCTGTGCATTCATTACACCTGCCAATTTCTGTTGCTATTTTGTTTTTCTTACTTTGCATTTGCCAATGCTCTAATAGAACCTTTTTTTTTCTTCTTTATTATCTTTCCTAATTGTCTATCTCCTTGTGTACCATATACTATCCACTCTTTTCTTCTTTTGTCTTTTGACATAGTCCTTTATACCATCTTCATTGCTTGGATATTATGTCTGTTTGTCTTAAAATGTTCTTTGATTTTTCTATTTGTTGGCTCTTCGAGCACTTTGAACTCTATTTTTTTAAACTATTCTGCTTTTTTTTCTTTACTTAAATGTTTACAAAAGTTTTTAAATTGTTGCCATATAATCAGTTTCTCCCCTTTTGTGTCAATCAATTGGTTTAGGTAAATTAGACTTGCTTCATTTATCTCTATTCTGCTTTTTTTCTACAACTGTGTTTCTAACAGTTCTCATATTTTAGTACTATATCCAAATATTCTCTATAAGTTACTTTCTATTTTTATGCTTATTTCTAACTTTTTTGCTTTTATTATTGTCAAACACGCTAAGTTGTTCTTCCATCATACTTTGCTATAAGAATGTTAAACTGGTTAAAATAGACTGTTTTAGTTTTGAACTGACAGTGCATTACATAAACTAAATCTAATTAGTTTTTAATAGTTTGTTATATAAATTTATATTGATAATCTTTTTCAATATTCCAAAAGTAAAAATAACTGTATACTTTATTATATTTTATTTATTTTTTTTTCAGTACTGCTTTAATTTTCTTCTACATACTTTATTAAGCTTGTTGCAAACCAAGTTTTAAGACAAAGAGAAGCATAGGCCTTTTCTGGCTCAAGACGATTTCTAGTTGGACTAATGGTAAATTTGGCTATACTGAACATTTGTTTGCTTGCTACACTTGTTGCTTGAACTACTAAGTAGTCACATGCCATACAAACAAGTTGAATCTATTGAGAATTTTTAGATTTAGTTTTTCAGTAATCAAGAATATTAATTTCTTCAACAGATAAATCAAGATATTCTTTAAGAATATCATCATGATTTATAGATACACTATATTTTTTGCGAAAATAATCACGAGAAGTTTCTGATCTAAAAGGTTTTGTTATCGAAATGTTATCACTTCTGATTGCATAGTTTGTTTCATAAATTGTATAAATAGTATGCTATGCTTTATACCTTTTTCCTTCATTATCGAATGACATTAGCTTGTTATTTGTGTCAAGAATTACAGCTTTATTAAAGGTAGTTTTAAGCTTGTTCCAATATTTATCTAATTTTTTTTTCATCTTTTGTGCAACTTGTTGTAATATATTATTATCATTCCAAATATTATTTATTGTATTTGCAATAATAGGAAACACCATATGAAGATCTCCAAATGTTGGATAGCTTGATGAAGAAAGGTTTGTTGCATGATAAATTAGTTCGAGTAATGTAACAGCATCTAAAGGAAATAAACATTTATTATTATTAATTATTATTATTATTATTTTTCTTAACAAATATTTATACTGAGAATGGCGATTCTAGTGTAGTAGTTAGGTTGTCATCCTCCAAGCAGCAGGTCTAAGGTTCAAATCCCACCTATGACAAAATTTGGAAATTATATCTGCATTAGATAACTGTCTCCTGTTGATCAGTTGGCCTTATATGGCTGTTATCCAGATACACCAGGCTGGGTCCTCCTGGCTTTAGGAGCTCAAGACATTTATACAAAGTATAACATTACATATACATAGAGGAATGTTAACTGGTATTGCATAAGACTTCAGTGCAAACCTATGATAAGACCATCAGACATAAAAGACTAAGGAACTGAGGTGACAGAAACCCACTTAGAAATTCCTAAGTAAAGAGGTAGCATGAACTTTTGATGATACCATAGGACTGGTTAAAGCCCATGAAACACCTTTATAGGAATCAAAAATTAAAACCAAATGACAAATATGTGTAGAGGAGCACATAACCAACCAGGCCACCAGGTTTACCAAAGAAAAAGGATACAGAAGTATACTATACCAGACTATCTGGATTGGTAGTTTGGAATGAGATCGATGGTTCTGAGTTGTGGCTAGTAGGGAATGATGAAGAAGATGCCAGAAAGATGGGTACTAGGGTTCTAGTGAACTTTATAAGAGTAGAAATAGTATAACGTAGTGGTTAAACAGGTAACCCTTGTGACTGCAAGTATTAGGTAACTATAGCAGGTTACATAAAACTAGATCTATATATATGAGATATAAAGGCTCTAGTAAGTTTCCTATCAAGGATAAAGTAGTCCTAAGAAGACCGATAAGTATCAGAAACTTGGATAGGTGGTGCCTTGAGATGTTCCCATAATACAAGAAGAACTGCATATGCAGAGGGTTTAAATAGACAAGACCTCTAGTTGGCTTGCAAGTATGGCAACTAGTGTAGAACTTATATAGTAATGTGTAAGCAGACTACTTAAATTAGGCACCAAAAGTGCATGTGTGGCTAGTTGTAACCTCCAATGTAAGGTAAGCCCCTGGTGGCATGCTATGTCTTAATATACTTGAATAAAAACATCACAACTCCTAAGATAAAGACTTTAACTAAAAAAAAAAAAAAAAACAAATATTTATACTAACATCAAGCTCTTACCAATCAGTATCAGTAGGATAAATATTTATAAGTAATGGATTTGATGTAACTAAAATATCAGTAATATCATGAATTCTATATAATTTTTTTATCATTATATATGTAGAATTTCATCAAGTGCAAACGTCAATTTCAGGTACTAAGAAAGAATATTGTTTTATTTCAAATATTTTTTTTTAATTTTTTAAAAAGAACTTGAGATAAATGTATAGCTGATGTAAATTCTTTAATTTTTTTAATTGAAGATCCAGCTACATCAAGACCATCTTTTACTATTATGTTTAAAACATGTGCTGCACACCTAATATGATAAAACAATCTATTTCTATGGTTATCTAAAAGCAAACATGCAAATTCATGTTCAAACATATCCATATTCAAAGCATTATCTGTAATTACTGATATAATTTTTTCTCCAAAATCAAAATCATTTATAATATTATAAATAGTATTCGCTAGTATAATTTCTGTGTGTCTTTCATGAAGAGGTATTAAGTCTAATAATATACGATACATTTTCTACTCATTACTAATCCAATAAAGAGTTATTAACATATAGGCTTGATTTGTACACAAAGTCCATATATCAGTGATAAGTGCTACTTTACTATAATAATTTTTAAAATAACTTTTAAACATTTTATATTGTTTTTTATAAAGATCTTGTATTTTAAGTAAGATAGTTTGTCGACTTGATAACTTGTACTAGGGGTTAAATATTTCAATTAGAAGATTGAATTCATCATTTTTGATGATAGAAAATGGCTGTTGATCATATATAATCCATCTTATAAGTATAGCATTAATAAGTGCAATTTTATTTGGATCTTTTTTTATACTATATATCTCAGTTAATTTATAAGGAAATAACAATTGTTGTTCAATTTGTTCCTATTCGGTTTTGTGATTTTTGGTAAAGTGTTCCTTAATTGTACTAACACCTGTACCAGGACTATAGCGTTGTTGATATATATTGCAAATAATATTTGTATTATTTGCACTCTATAAAAAATGGCTCCAAACTGGATGACATAGTCTGCTCTTTTTTATCAGTCTTGTGAATTCAGATTTATTGTCAGTATCATTATTATTAGAACTTATCAATTCTTGAATATTCATTATGATTTATTAGATTAATGGTTGTATTGATGCAATTATTTTTATATAATCATGAAGATTTATTAAATTTTTGAGTATTTATATGTTATATACAAATACAAAACTTTAGTCATAATTATGCAATATTATATTAGTAATTTTACATATTTAATTTAATTTATTGGAAATAGATTGAATGATTTATTACAATTATTATCACTATATGACCAAAAATTTAATATAGCAAAATAAATTAAATAATTTACTAATTATGACATAATGCATATTATTCCTATAATGAAGCCTAGTTAGTTATATTATGTGCCTTATTTAATAAATAAACTAGTTCTGCTAGTTCAAACTTAATTATAACAGTCTGAGTTTTGAACTCAGTTAAACTAGTTTAGGCTGAACAACTTAACATCTCTACTTTGCTAGCTAGTATTTCTTCTAATTTCCAAACATCTTCTGTCAAACCTGCTCTTTGATAGCCTTGTGTTATTCTTAGCTTTGTTAACTAACCTAGGCTGTCTTGTCTGTTCAATTTTGACAGTAAGCTACTTACTTGCTTTATTATTATCTCTTGTTGTAATGTTCTACATCTACCGAGATCCTTATATTCTATTATATAATTTTTTACTGTTCTTTGCAAATTACTTTTTTGCTTTGCTAGACATATTATTGGTTAATGTATTTTGTGTATTCTCTTTTTCAAGATTTTAGTCAACTGAAGCATATAGCTTAGTTTTGGGATTATTACTATATTGTTTATATATGTGATCTGGCTTGCTATCATCTTTTTGTATTTGAGATCTTTTATTGTTTAACTAACTATTTCTTTAGCTTTTCTTTTAACTAAAACTTCTCACATTCTGTTATTTAGCCATATTCCAAGTGATCGAACAATTTTGTTTATTGGTTCTTCTCTTATATTGCTTTTGCTAAAAGCTATTTCTTTCTTTTCTTTTTTAACTTTTGTATTCATTACTAGTAGTTTTAATTTTGATCCATTAATTTCTATGTCATTCATCTTAAAGAACTCTTTAGCTACTTCTAGAATCTTTAATAACTGGTCTTTGCTGTTTGCAATCTATGTTGTGTCATCTGCATATGCAATTGCTACTTGGTGGAATTTTGTAACATTATTGCATTGTGTCTCTTCTTTAATTTCTTGCTCAACTGTATATCCTAGACTTTTGTTTTCTTGTACTCTCTCTAATAATAGATCATAGAAGAGGCACCATATTAATGATGATATTACTTCATCTTGATCTATTCCATCTTCTGCTGTTACTTCTTCTGTTAAGCCATAAGCTATAATTATTCTTAGTTGTCTTTTGTGAAAAAGATTTAGATGTATTTTATCATTCTTCTAGGAATTTTGACTCTTTGCAATGCTATTTTAAGACTTTTGAGTAGAACTGAATCGAATGCCTTCTTTATATTTTGTAGAAATATCCATATGTCTTTATTATTTTCTTTTGCCTCCTTCATTATTATATTAAGAATATGTACTGGCTGCTCTGTTGAATTTCCTAGTAGACCTGCATAGTTTGGTCTCTTAAGCACTTCTCTTTCCATAAACACCTTGGCAAGCCTCTTTGTTATCACCTTTGTTATTACTTTCCTAAATGTTTTGATCAGAGCTATTGGGTGAATATTGTTTAAGTTGTATCTTCACTCTACATCTTTTGGTATTAGATAAACTTGTGCGATTTTCCACTTGGTTGGTATCTTTTCTCTCTCTAAACAGAAATCTGCAAAGGCTTTAAAGACTTCTTGCATTTTCTTTCCTGCTCATTTGATTAGTATGTAGCTTATATCAGATATGCCTGAAGCTATTCTTATTTTAAGTTCTCTCAATACTTCTTCCTATTCTTTTTTCTTGATGCTATTTTTTAATTCTATATACTATTTCTCTTTAATTCGTTTTTGTGGCTTGTAAACTTCTTTCCACCTTTCTGACATTTTTTCTAGTTTTGCATCTCTTGTTCTAAATTGTTTTTTGTAATGTTCTGCTATACTGATTATAACTAACTCTGGTTCTACTGTTAAGTTTGTCAATTCATCTTCTTGTTTAATAAATCTGTTAAATGTTATTTTTTTATAGAACTTGTTTAACAGACTGGCTATTATTTTCTCTTGATCTGTTTTAATCATTTCACATCTTTTGTTTATGTTTTCTTTTATTTGTTTTCTTTGATCTTGTTTCTATTTTTTTCTCTTTTTCTCTTGTAGTAGTTTCTGCCAACCTTTATGTTTTCTATCCAGGTGCTTGACTATTGTCTGTGTAATTTGGGCAGCTTTGCCTCTTCTTTTCTTCTTATTATTCATAGTTTTTCATTTATTTCTGTTCTTTTCTTTTTTGTTACTTTCTGACTTTCTTTTGTTTTTGCTATTTAATTAGTCTTTGCAGTTCTATAATGTTCTTTTCTTGGTGTTGCTTCTTTTGATTGTTTCTTCTATTTGTTAATGTATTGTATATCTTTTTTCTTCAGCAGGTGTTTACTAGCTGTTGTAATGATTGCTTTTTCTAATACATCCCATATGCTGTTTATATTATTTGTTTCTTTCTTTTAAATGTTTTTTAGCATCTTCTTAACTTCTAACTGTTTTTGCAACTTTTGCGTATACTTTTTCTAGTTCTCTTCTTTCACTTGGTCATATAAATATACTGTTCTCAATTGTTTTTTCCTTTTGATTTTAGCTTTGTTATTTCTTGATATTATATGTTTAATCCATATTTCTGTTTTTATTATTTTATAATCATTTTTAGTAATTCTCTCTGCATTTTCAATTTCTGCCTTCTGTAGACCTGAGGCCAGTTCCTCTAATACTCATATGTAGTTAATTCTTGTTACTGCTTCTCTATTTGACTATGTAAATTCTTGACTTGTTGGATGCATATTTCTGTAACTGTCACTAAAGTTCTGCTTTTTTATTTAATTAAAGATTGGCAATCTTTTGAAGTTTGCTGCTTATAGGTATTGTCTGTCCAATATATTATTCGCTGTATGATTAAAATCATTTAAAATACCTATTTGTATTTGTCTTTTCTTCTTGGTAACTATTTCTATAATTTTTTGTTGAATGTTTTTCTCTACTGCCTTGTCACTTGGTAGTATATAGACCTTAAAACTACTAACTCCAATTGCTTGAAGTATAGTATAATTTTTATCATATATTTATTTATCCTTTTGATTGCACCCATATGTTTTTCCCATTGTTTGTCAATTATAATGCCTATACCCAATCCCTTTTTTTTGTTTTTTGCTGCAATTGACCAAAATCCTACATATTTCTTGTTTGCTATCTGCATTAGGAATCTCTTTTTTCTTTCTGTAAGGTTTGTTTCTATAATATCTAATATTGTGACTTCTTCTTCTTCTGCTTAGCTCAGCAGACTATAGAGTTTCTATTCTTTGGTTTTGAGTTTATTAACATTGTGACATGCTATTTTAATCACCTTTTTTTCTTTTTTTTTATTTTTCTTTTAGTTGTTCTTGTATTGTCTTTGCTGTTTCTTCTTTTTCTTTTTCTTTTCTGTTTTTACTTCTTTCTTCTTTTGAATGAGGATGTGTTTTCCTTTTTCAGTTTTTAAAACTTCTTCTTTCATCTTGTAAGAACTCTTCTATCTTCTCATCTATATTCATTGATTCAACTAAAATACCTTTAGAAGCGATTAGCTATGCCTTCTCCTATTATGTCACCTACTTTCTCTAGTTTTTTTAGTCTTTCTAAGATTCAGCCCAGCATATCTTTTATATATGTATTCTTTTCTTGCTATTGCATTTTATCTTTATTTTTCCCCTTCTCTTGGCTTTCTTCTTTCTTACTATTTATACTTCTATATTTTTTTTGGTTTTTAATATTATGTCTCAGGCTGCTATTTTCTTCTTCTATCATTTGAACTTTTGGTTTTAGTTCTTTCTAATTTTTTTTTCTGTTCATATATGTTCTGTTTCATTGGTTTCTTTCTTTACTTTTATCTTCTTCTGCATCAGAGTTTTGGCTTAATTTATCCTAACTTCTTTCTCTTTTATTCTTAAAACTTTCTCTACTTCTTGGCTCTCTTCTTCTTTCATTAATCCAGTATACTTAGAAGTTGTTGTATATGATTGGTTTTAACTACACTACTTTCATATCTTTCTCTGTTGCAAAAATAATCAGTGCTGTTTACTTTTGGTTCCTGTTTCAGTTTAGTGAAATGTATACTGACTTTGCTTCTTTACTTCTCAAGCATTACAATAATAAGACTTCTGAAGCATTTTCAGGTAGTTCAGTTAGTTTGGCTATATGTTTTCTTTGTCTTTCTCTTGCTTAGTGGTCTTCTCTTTCTCTTGTTACTCTTACCAACTTATTATTGTCTGCAGGCAATGACTATGGAATATTTTCTTCTTCTATGCTTTGTGTTTGTA